AATATTGTGACCATTAGTTTTATATCGTATACCAATCTTGTCATACAATATTTTGACCATTAGTTTTACATCGTATACCAATCTTGTCATACAATATTGTGACCATTAGTTTTACATCATATACCAATCTTGTCATATAATATTTTGACCATTAGTTTTACATCATATACCAATCTTGTAATATAATAGTGACCATTAGTTTTACATCATATACCAATCTTGTCATATAATAGTGACCATTAGTTTTACATTATTTACCAATCTTGTAATATAATATTGTGACCATTAGTTTTACATTATTTACCAATCTTGTAATATAATATTGTGACCATTAGTTTTACATTATTTACTAATCTTGTAATATAATATTGTGACCATTAGTTTACATCGTATACCAATCTTGTAATATAATATTGGGACCATTGACATGTGTCCTTAATTTTGAAACAAAATTTCAAGAGACTTGATTACTGCTCAATTATATACTTTCTCACGACTTCTGTCTTTCCAACTGAATGTTCGTCAAGTTAGTTAAGGATTAGGAAGAAGTGAAGTAATGTTTAAATATTTCCAGTATATCTTATCAATAACATGTAAAAATTGTAGGTTATCTATTGAACATGCTCTCTGATGGAGTACTTGTGATAATGAAAGCCCAAGTATCTGAATATCTTCTGTCAACCTACAATTATTCAAGAAATAATCAAATGAAAACTGGAAAATTTATAGGACTAATTATGATTCTAGAATATGCATAAAACAAAACCTATCCCAAATTCAGGCTGTGGATCCATTATCTGGGTTTATAAATTATTGTTGCTCATTTGATCTAAATCATGAACTGCAAATCTTTTGTACTGTAGGAGATGTTTTTGTTATTCTGGCATTGTATACAATACTTGGAAAACATGATACTGCTTGTAGACAAAAACAGTAGAGAACCATTATGTTGCTCAGTAATTTAAACTGTGATATATTTACTAAATTACCAATTGTTCTAAACATATGAATTCAAGTGTTAATGCACAATCTATTTTCAGTATGATCAGCTTATTTGATGATTGATAATTACTACATTCTGTCTGTATCACATCTTCTAAATGTACCACCTGGTACATTATGGTAAACATTGAGACCAAACTATGAACTGGTTAAAGCAGATCTAAAGCCTAAATATTAGGCTAAATAAAAACTTGATCACTTACTTCAGTCAGGTACAGTCCACATTTTTTACTCTGTACAGAGAATGGTGTTAGTATCCTAGGCTGTAGATTTAGGCTACATAGCCTACTTACTCCAGGCAGGAGCAGTTCAAGTTTGTTACACCCTCTACAGAGAACAGTGTTAGTATCCTAGGCTGTAGATTTAGGCTACATAGTCTACTTACTCCAGGCAGGAACAGTTCAAGTTTGTTACACCCTATACAGAGAACAGTGTTAGTATCCTAGGCTGTAGATTTAGGCTACATAGCCTACTTACTCCAGGCAGGAACAGTTCAAGTTTGTTACACCCTCTACAGAGAACAGTGTTAGTATCCTAGGCTGTAGATTTAGGCTACATAGCCTACTTACTCCAGGCAGGAACAGTTCAAGTTTGTTGTACCCTCTACAGAGAACAGTGTTAGTATCCTAGGCTGTAGATTTAGGCTAAATAGCCTACTTACTCCAGGCAGGAACAGTTCAAGTTTGTTACACCCTCTACAGAGAACAGTGTTAGTATCCTAGGCTGTAGATTTAGGCTACATAGTCTACTTACTTCATTGTGTTTTCTTTGTAAGATCAAAGAATTATCATAACTTTGTAACTGTTGAATAAAATACAATTTTAATTTCAACACAAAAGTACATGTACCCTGCTTAGAAATGGGTAATTAGTGGAACTTGACAATTGATTGATCGACAGGCTTATTAATCAGTTACATTTAATGAGTTGATTCTTCATAGTTTGATAGTTGGAGTAATTAGATACATTTATATCAACTGGTTGGTTATTTTCATGAATCATGAAACTAATTAATTAAGCTGAACAACCTTGAATTAATTGAAAATAATAAGTCATAATGGCAAATATTTAAAATACTTGGATGGATAGAATAATGAAAAATAGTAATAATTGTAAACAAATTTAGATTACATTATTATTTTTGTGATGTTAATCAATATTACCAATGCTCATAGATAATCAGTTATATCTATTAATTTAGTTAATTACTCAGCTAGAACCCTGCATATGAAATATATAGTTATGTTAATTGAGTTAGTTACCCAGCTTTAACCCTGCATATGAAATATATAGTTATGTTAATTGAGTTAGTTACCCAGCTTTAACCCTGCATATGAAATATATAGTTATGTTAATTGAGTTAGTTACCCAGCTTTAACCCTGCATATGAAATACGTAGTACATGATTTTTTAGTGTACTGACTGTTCTTAGAACCAAAGTAGAATAGTAATAACTTTATATACATTTCAAAAAATTAGACTTTCATAATTTACAAATAAAAATATGGTTTTAATAGTTCTTTATTATTTTTCACAGGTGTTTTCTTAGTTTGGCAGTAGATTGTATATAATATTAAACTGAAAGATATATTGCTTTACCAATTACCATACCTGATAAACATTGCTGAATACTTATGTTGAAAATGTAAAAAACATAATTTTATACAAAAAAATGGAAAAGATGTGAATTTTTCAGATGACCTAAATAAAGTACTGTTTTATATAACTATAGAATAGGTGTGTTTTACTTGTGTGTTAAAATCAAATGATTCATGATCTGTAAAATTATTAAATCTGTTGGATGTTTTTTGTTTATGTGAAGTTTTTGATGGTTCTTGTTTTTTCAGTGCTGCTATTTTAAGGTGTACTTACATCATCAGGGCTGGACATTGTCTATTAGGTATTCTATGTCTTTATCAAGACTGTTTCCTTACCAGATATATATATTAGTGCAGTTTGTCCACTAGGTCAATAACGGAACAGTATGAGTACTACGTCTATATCAGAAACTTTCTCATAGAATCTACTTCTGCTGATCATTTTCTGCTACATTAGTTAATAATAATTGCATTTATTTAGATATTAAACTCCACAAAAGTAGATTAAGATTGCAGTTCTATTAGTACAATTGTATCTAAACTTAAACAAAGAAATAAAATTGTACATGATTAGAAATCACTGTAAAAACAACAAAATCAGACCCTCATGTGACTACATCTGTCATGCTGATGGTAAAGTAAAAGTCCTTAAAACGTGTAAGATATATCAAATTTTTAATGATAAGGAAACAAAATTAGGTTATCGAACTAATTTATCTGTCAGCTTGCGACAAAATTAAATAAGTTTAAAATTATATAGGATATATAATTCATCTTTGAGAACATGTGTGGAGTGGACCAGGGTGTAGTCTCCTAGTTGTTTGAGCATGAGTTTGGGTCTTTCCTCACCTCCACTGCACTTGCTCTTTCTGCTACAGTGTTATCAAAATGAGTATTTCTGTATCACTATGCCCGGCATGGCCAGGTGGTTAGGGTGCTCAACTCTCAATCTGAGGGTCGCGGGTTTGAATCCCCCATCACACCAAACATGCTCGCCCTTTCAGCCGTGGGGGCATTATAAAGTGACGGTCAATCCCACTATTCATTGGTAAATGAGTAGCCCAAGAGTTGGGAGTGGGTAGTGATGACTAGCTGCCTTCCCTCTAGTCTTACGCTGCTAAATTAGGGACAGCTAGTGCAGATAGCCCTCATATAGCTTTGCACGAAATTCAAAAAACAAAACAAACAAACTGTATCACTGCCTCTAGTGGTTGGCTTAGGTGGGATATCCACCTTGTACCATTCAAACCAACTGAGTATAGCATCTCCTCTTCCATGGATTCAGCTATAATTGTTAATTCTCTCAAAGCATTGAGTAAGTGATGGGGAAATTCCATGAATAAAGTCTTACCTATCCTTCATGGTATCTAGAGCCCCAAGTTCAAGCCTATGGCTAACACAGTGCATAGTGAGAAGATGGGGTATGCTCCTCGTCAATCAACTTGTCACACTGTGGGTTGTACCCAATTAATCATTTGCTCCTTCATATGCAGTAGCAATCAGCTTCTTAGTTCCATCCATCTTCTATTCCAGTTATGGCTGTCTCTATATCCAAACACCCTCGGCATATGCATCCTGCACTGGCACTGTTCTCGCAAAGATGTTTCGTAGGGAACCCTCACATATACAGTCTCATTTTTACAAACTTAGATGTCAGTGGTCCCATCAAACATAATAGAAAAACTTTGTGCATTTTTCAGAAGGCTATACAACTCTTGCATAATGATAAATACGGGATCTGAAATGAAATAGAACAGCAGTTGGCTAATAGAAATTGATTGGGTAAAATTGGTAAATTAAATTAATATTCCTGACTTAGATAAATTGGAGGATTTGTAATTAGAAATGTGATGGATCTGAAATGAAATGTATGTGCAGTAAAGCTAATAGAAATGTAATGTGTAAAGTTGGTAAATTTATATTTATATACTTAGAAAAGATAATTATAGGACTTAAAATTAGTTACCTTCTAAATACTTGATTTGTGTTGTAGCTAGCAGTAAGTTCAACACCATTCTGTGGCCAAAAGTCTTGAATTTCAACATACAGGGTAAAAGAAGGCAATTCCTTTCGCAACAAAATATGTAGTGTTAAAGTAAATGGGAAACTAGGCCGTCTGAGTGTTGTTCGATTTCCTAACAATAATTTTTTAACAGCTTTGGGCATCCAGGATGAACTAGAACTGTTGAGCTAGAGAAAGATGATTTAATATCCTCAGTATAAGAACAATAGATAGTCTCCTTTTTTTAATTGTTTCAGGCACTGGATGTCACATTCTCATGTGAAGACTCATTCATGCAATTTGATGGAAACAACACTGAACACAAAACTAGAGCCTGAGCTAGTGATAGTACTGTCTGTGGACTTTCTACATGAGACACAAAAAATCAAGCAACCTGTACTTTTTTTTCCATTTTGGCAAAAATTCTCTTTTACTCTAATCCCTTTCATATTTTCCCTTTTTAACTTCTCTACCTTTTCCGTTATTCCTCAACCCTCCATCTTTATCTTTTAACTAAAAAAAACTGGATGACATGATTTAACACTACAACACATGTTGTACCTAAAGCTATAAAATATAAAGGTTTCTTAATCTTCACCAGAGAATAATTAAGATAGCAAAATCTGAAATCTTTGGTTACAAATCATTATTGAAGTAGCTAGTGTAATAGTTTAATGTTGTTGATATATTTGATGTTTTTTATATCACATGTTTTTCACATGTGTGTGTCTGTTGGATTACAAGTGGTCACAATAGCTCATTTACAGTGGAGCTTTACACTTTAAGTAGCTCTTCAATTTGTGTAAAGAAAGATCTTCTATTTATTATGGAGTTTATAAGGGCAAAAGGAAATGGGTGTAAAAATTTACTTTATCGCATTGTTTGACCAGGCAAGTGATCTTTGGGTGCTACTCATGAACGTAATTAAGATAAAAATGTTTGTAGAGATTGTAACTCTGTCGGGCAACTGTTAATGTCGAGCCATGATCATAGTAAATGTTTTTGATGTCAAAATTGAATATTTGTGAAGTTTTTTTTTATTTTCTTAAAGTGTTGATGGTATTTATTTACAGGAACTGGGGTGTGTTAAACAGATAAAGTCGTTATTACTGGATAGATGTAAGGAAAATGCATCAGTTGAAATTCAACAGAAGTTTTTATCCCTCTTTTCTGAAACTACCAATGCTCTAGGTCTTGTCCTTAATGAGAGGTTTGTCAACATACCGACTCAGATTGCTCTTCCCCTTTTCAATAGTCTGAAGTAAGTCAGGAACTTAGTGTCATTTAATTTGAAATAATCACCAAGAAATTACATTTTTTTTGTTACTTACTGAACCTATAACTTATTTTTAAGTTTAAAATATAAAACAAAATGTGTAAATGGGAGTGTTAAATTATTTCCTAATTTTTCAGACCATAATATTGCATTAAAAAAGGCAGGCTAAAATATTATGATAAAAAGAAAACTAGGAACAGTACTTGAGAAGAAAGTTATTAAAATTAATTTCATCAAAGCTTACAACTTTTAGCAATGCTGAGTTTAGAAACTTTCAGAAAGATGACAATAATTGTTTCACATTTGGAAATTTCAGGTATATACAGTACAGTATGGCTAATTAAATATACATTTCTACTTCTAAAGATAAGAATGCATTGTTTCATCAGTTGGGTACCCTTGCTGTTAACAATATCTTGAGCTGTAATTACAATAATCTCTCATGACATTTGGCCAGCTTAGGAGATATAGGGTAGTCCTAAGTACATTGATTAAACTAACAACTAGTTATCAAAGTAAACAATAAACTGAAATAAAAAGTAATGACATATGATGTACTAAATAATAAAATCAATATTTGAAAAAAATATTATATATATGTATATTGAATCGAAAGTTTTTTGTTGCCCAACTTTTTTCTTACTGTGAAAAAAAGTTTTTACAGTTTCAAATTATCTGTTCTAATTTTGTAGCAATGATATAGAAGAAGCAAACAAAAGAAAGCTGAAGTTTAATTTTTCCCATTACTTGTTCATCTGCAAGATATATAAGCCTAAAGAAGAGAAGAAACAGCTTTCAGAAACTCTTATATATTCTAATGCTGAGGAAGAGTTAATAGAAGAGGTAAGAGATGTAAAAAGGAACCAGTTACTGTTCCATTAATGGCATTTCAAAAGTCACTTTTTTTTTTTTCAAAGCAACATTTTTGTGGAAATCTTGCAGCTACAAAACACCTAGCTCATCAGTTAATTTAAATTTACTTTCATAAATTATCTCCTTGAAAAAGAACTTTCATGAAAACTTAACTAAAAAGCTAAAGTTTTTTTTGTGTGTGTAAAGTTTAGACATGTAAGAAAAAAAGTAAAAGGTGTCAAACCATAAAGTAAAATACAGAAAACAGAGATACACAAACTTGTTCTCCAGTTGTGTTTGAAATTTTTTTGAGTTTAATATGAAACAACCATGAAATAATGTTCAGGGTGAAGTGCAATGGTTTGTAAATGAGTTGGCGATTAATAAAAAAAGGTCATGTTTAGAAAGATGTACTGTCTTAAGGCTGCAAAATATAACATTGTAAAAACGTATGAAGACAGTGAAGATGTATTTTGCTGATATCATGGATAGTAGGTGTGTGATACGTCTGTTTGCAGTATTATAATGTTTATGATATTATACAGGGTGTCCCAGAATGAATATACCATAATGAAAGTTGAGTAATGTTTTTATTATTTGAAATAACAAAATTTAAAACAAAATATCATTTGAAGGGTCATAAGTTTTATTTGATTTAATTAATAAACTTCTACATATCTTCCATCATTAGCTATAAACAATCAAATTCTGAGAACACATTTTCCAACACAGCTGTAGGGATGGATAAAACAGTATCAGGGATACAAAGTTTCAGTTCCTAAAGATCCATTGGTTTGTTATTGTAGACTTTTGCTTTCAAAAGGCCCCAGAGATAAAAGTCCAAAGGAGTTAAATTAAGGAAACTCTTAAAGAATTGTCATTTTACTCAAAAACTGTGTCAGTTCTGCAATTATAAATAAAACATATTCATGAATAATAATGATAATTAATGTAAGTAGTTAAATAATAACTAACTTTAAATAAAACTTACAAGCCTTTGGAAGATACTTTGTTTTGAATTTTGTTGTTATCTCAAAAAATAGTTATTCAACTTTCTTTTAGTATATTTATTTTGGGACACCTTGTATATTCTCTTGACAACACTATACTAGTGTATGTGTGATAGCTTACTCCCCATGGTCACAGAAAAACAACAACTGGCTTCAGAAAGTTTATAAATGTGTGGATTTTAGCAGAAGTTGATGTATTTGCTTTCATAGAAATGGTATGGTTTCATCTTCTGTGTCTTATTTGCTTCCAGTTTAATAGCAATCACTCTAACTTACTATGTATTGCATATCATACAAAGGGCCCGATTCACATGCCAGTGGTGAAACTGGAGTTAAAATTTGTTATTCATCCGTTCATTCAAGTTTACTTTTTTAACTTTTGTAATCATAGGATCTAGTATATTTCTAAAGATAAATAGTACTATCCATGTGCCTTATATACATTTGTTTTACCTGTTGTATCATAAATTCCACATCTTTAAACCATCACTGTGTACATCCATGGTTTTATGCCCGTCCTATTTAATGTCAGCTCTTCTGCAAACAGTTAGTATTTTTTTATTCTTTTTAGTCATACAAATATCAACAGAATGAAAATCCATATTATCGATTCTGTGATGTTGTTTGGCTAGTGAAGCAAAGTCGTATATTAAATCTATTCTGTGTGATAATATACACAAAATTATCCATGGTTTTATGCCCGTCCTATTTAATGTCAGCTCTTCTGCAAACAGTTAGTATTTTTTTATTCTTTTTTAGTCATACAAATATCAACAGAATGAAAATGCATATTATCGATTCTATGATGTTGTCTGGCTGGTGAAGCAAAGTCGTATATTAAATCTATTCTGTGTGATAATATACACAAAATTATCCTTCATCGTGTCAGAAAAACACATAGGTTCAAAATGAACCTTTCTTCTTCAGGGGCAGACTGGAAATGGTGGTGTAACTGAATGAGTGACATATTACAGGGAGCTGATCATCTGGTCTTCCAGGAAATGTTTAATGTATTTTGTCATGTACTGTCGTAAGTGTGTTTCATTTCTAGTACAATGTGGCTGGTGACAAGAGTGTTAGGGATATTTTGCTTTAGAAATGGTTGAAAAGAAAGAAAACTGTTACATAGAACACTGTCCTAGTGTGTGTATAATAACTTCTAATTTCAACAGTACCCAATTTTGAGTAACATGTCCATTTCAAATCATTATGGCATTAATTGTATTATAGTAATTCTACTCTTTCTAACAGTATTGCTGTATAGTTTATGTTTTGATCATTCATCATTTTGGCATAGTTTCACATAAAACATGTTACGAAAGTATAAGGTATCCATGATGTGGACCTTGAGTTATTACAGAAGATCTGGTTCAGTGTTTAAAGACATGCAAAGTTCCACTGAGTGACACACACTATCACTGATCGAATAGGATGCTGATGCTTCTAAAATCTCTACTTCCTCAGCTCATTAAGGAGTGGTTTTTGTTACTTAGATCTTGTTTCATAATTAGAACCCTGATGTAGAGAGTGATAGTAATGGTAGCACTGATAAGATGTTGGATTTAACACAACATTATAAAATCTTATCTATGAACGTATGATGAGCTAAAGATGTGTAGTCGAAGCATTGAAAGGTGCTTTGAAGCATTGTATAGATGCATGAGTATACTTTTTTTTATGTAATGTTTATTGTTTTTATCCAATCACAGGAAAGCGAGCTTCAGTTTGACTTTTCTGTAGAGACAGAAGCTGATTCTGCTCTTGGTGGAATGTGGAAAGATGATGATGAAGAATTCAAGCCTTACCGAAGAGTGATTGTCATTCCTGCCACTAGATGGCCAAATATAATCAGCAAATTGAAGGAAGAATTATCTCCATCATAATCTATCAGGTTAAAAAATTATGTATAAAATCACCACAAACTAAACGGAAATGTATAGTTTTACCAAATAAACATCTAAATTGTGTCTATTTCTATCAATCTTAAATTAAAAGAGACTCAAAGTTTAAAGTAAGACATGAGTTGCAGTAAGATTTCGGGAAAGAGTAAGAAATGGCTTCAGTATTAGAATTAGAAACTCCTAGGTAGCTGTTGTCCTTAAATTACATTACTGCATGTCCTTCACTGGTGAAAATTCACTTGATGATCTCTTTGACATTTTGCAATGTACTACTACCTGGTTTTGAGATAGAAAATGAACAAGTCCTTTCATTGTGATCCCTATCTGTACCAGGTCAGACCATCTACTACTTTGATAACAGCTCAGACTTGGCCTGCTATAGACCCTATAAGATACTGGGAAGTGTTTTGTTTTATTGTAGCCTATTTACAGAGGATTAAAATCTGATTTTGGATCACAATCACATCATGAGAATTGTAGTTGCTTATGCAGCATTCAAGTTCATTTCAAAAATTATCCACTGGATTGAGGTTCTGGTCTTTATGCTGGATCAGAAAGATGGCTGAAGTCATTGTCATGCATTTTAAAACAGTTTTGAGTAACATCCAACTGTTGTACTATCTTAGAGGAGTCCTGGTTCATTAAGGAGGAAATACAACATTGTAAGGTTGGTCTGATCCTCAACAGTCGATTTGGATATTTATTCACTATTCCGAAGAAATTAAAGTGTCCTAACCTTAGAACAAGTCTTCTCCGCACCATTACGCCATCTCTAGTAGCTTGGAGCAGTAAAAGAAAGGTCAAGTGGGGTCTTCCATAGCTTTATTATATTGTGAATACTACAAAAGGTGAAATGAGATCACTTGTTTTTAACAATTCATTGTCCTCAGTTTTGCTGTAAGCAATATTGAAGCAATGTTTTCCTCTTTGCATTACATGTAAATTAAACAGTTTTGAGTTGGTTGTTGGCTGTCATATGATATTTGTGGTAATGTCCTTTGCATAGTATAACAGGAGATAGTAAAATCCTAAATATAGTTGAATGAATCAGTCAGTAGGGAGACAAAGTATGATGTTTTTTGTCTGTCCAACTATCTTTTCATTCAACATCATTAGTAGCCAGTTTTTCAAGTGACAGCCATTTCAACATCTTTGTTCGATATTGGTTATGTGCAGTTACAACATCTGAATATTTTCATTTCTATTGGGTATTAACAGTAACCACATTTGTTCCAAATTGGTTACATATAGTTTCAGTCTTCAAAATTACCAATGGAAACATTAGCACTAAGAAAGATTAAACATTTGGAAGGAAGAGTCTGTACTAAACTCTTTAGTTCGTGTAAATAATTCACAGATAAATGATGCTTTAGTAGGTGAATAATTGTCATTGTAAACCATAATAATTATGAGAAGTACCAAATAGTTATACAACTTTGTCAAAAAGACCTTTTAGAGTGATGCACAAACCTTGTAACCTTTAAAGTATGAAAACATATATAATGTGAATATTCTAATAAAATTAAGTATGCTACATCATATAAAAATGAAAACTAACATTAAATAATGAAATATAAAAATAGTATATTATCATATATATATATATATATATATAGAGAGAGAGAGAGAAAGATGATGTTAAAGCTGAAGTAGAAGGTTAAATAATATTGATCGATCTAGTACCAGACGATGAACAAGAAGCCAAAGTAGATAGTCATTTACAATTTCAAATTTATATAGTCAAGAGCAGTGAACTGGATATTGGTAGTGAAACAGACAATGGTACAGATATGCTTAATTATGAAGAAATGAAAGAAGCAGTTTGTTTACGAAAAACTGATGAACTATTCAGTAGACATATACAAACAAAATGGGCAGCATTTCAATGAATGACCACCACAACTTGAGGTAAGACTTATGACAATAACAATTAATTAGTTTTAGAAACTTCACAAAAAATAGCACCACAGGAATTAATCCAAACCTTGATCAAAAATATGAACTTTTTATCAAGTATTGGAGAAAAAAGACTAAATTAAAGGAGGTGGTAAACAGCAGCTGATCACATTCTGAATAACTTCTTGTGAATGATGCATAACATTGAAAATACTTTACAAATTTTAAAATATGACATACAAGAAACAAGTCTAACAGATGTAAGCAGAAGTATAGAAAGGTTTTTATTTTAAAGAGTTGCTTCACATGATTTTGGGAAAAACTTCAAAGGTGCTAACACATTTATTTACTATGAAAACAATTAACACAAAAAATATACAAGTTGAAAAAGCATTTGAAAAACTTGGCCAGGTGGTTAGGGCAGTCAACTTGCAATCTGAGGGTCGCAGGTTCGAATCCCTGTCCCACCAAACATGCTGGCCCTTTCAGCCATGGGGCATTATAATGTGATGGTTAATCCCACTATTCGTTGGTAAAAGTATAGCCCAAAAGTTGGCAGTGGGTGGTGATGACTAGCTGCCTTCCCTCAAGTCTTACACTGCTAAATTAGGGACGGCTAGTGCAGATAGCTCTCACGTAGATTTGCAAGAAATGTCAAAATTCAGGGTTTGATTCCAGTTGTATATAGAGCATAGACAGCCCATTTTAGCACAAAGGTACAAAATGAGTCTTCCACTGTTTCCACAAGCATTGGGCTTCCTTGGGGATGTTCTTTTATTCTACCCCAAATTATCTTCTCTGACATAGGGGTATTGTAATTGACTTAAGTGCTGTGACATGCAAATCAACAGATGCAGCAACACCAGAATTTGGCTTTTTTTGTTCCCAAACGTCATTTTATCGAAGTTAACTACACACTTCCTTGGTAGTAAGTAGTCCAACCCTAATATACTCTGGCTTTCTCTCAATTGTTAGAGAATTTCTTCCTGTTTCCTTTCTTGTTCTAGTTGTCACTGCTGTAATCTCTTATCTTGTTTATTTTCTTTCTCCTCCAACCACTGCTGTAGCCTCTCTTCTTGTTTATTTTTCCATTCTTCTTGTTTTTTTTCTTTTTCCTCCAACAACTGCTATAATCTCTCTTCTTGTTTCTTTTCTTTTTCCTCCAGCAACTGCTGTAATCTCTCTTCTTGTTTCATTTCTCGTTCTTCTTGTTTCTTTTGCTGTTCTTGTATTGCTGCCATCAAATCTGCTAAGCTGTAGCTTGTCTCAATTATCGTTCTCTATCTCTGCCTGTCTGTAATGATCTATCCCGTCACTTATTTTGCCCGCTTATATATACAAAAATAGAGGGCGCATAGAGAAGATTTGTTTGTTTGTTTGTTTTGAATTTCGCGCAATGTTACACGAGGGCTATCTGCACTAGCTGTTCCTAATTTAGCAGTGTAAGACTAGAGGGAAGGCAGCTAGTCATCACCATCCACCACCAACTCTTGGGCTACTCTTTTACCAACGAATAGTGGGATTGATCATCACATTATAACGCTCCCACGACTGAAAGGGCGAGCATGTTTGGTGTGATGGGGATTCGAACTCGTGACCCTCAGATTGCGAGTCGAGTGCCCTAACCACCTGGCCATGCTGGGCCACATGTAGAGAAGACTAGAGTTGTCAGGAACAGACATGATCCTTCTAGAATCTCATGACGTGTTACTAGAGTCACGTGACTTCCGCTGTCGTAACAGCATCTTTGTACCAAATCCCATATAAATTAGTGAAATAGTTTTAAAAAAAATCCTAAAATTATGCTTTTTGTGGCATCTTTACCCCCTATAATTACTAAAAATGGGGAAGACCAACATTTTTGTTTCTCAATGTATAGAGCCTATAGAAAATTATCTTTGTACTAAATCACATGTACATTGGTCAAAATACGGCTGAGTAATTGACAAAAAAAATTATACTTTTTTTGTGAGCTCTGATCCCTTAAAATGACTCAAAAATGGGCAAATTCTACATTTTTTGTAAGTCAATATGTTGGGTGCAGGATAATTTGTATTTCTGCCAATTTTCATCTTAGTTGCTGTAAATATGACTACATAGGAGTACAGAATATACATTTTTTGGGTTGTTCGACATTTGACCGCATAAAATCCCCAAAAAATCGTAAATCAAAAAAATGAAAAAGATGTCCGGGCGTATGGGATCAAGGTATAACTCTACCAAGCCTCAACTCAATCCACTGAGAAATGAAGGGATGGCGTTTAATTGAAAAGTGTTTGTAAAAAAGAAGAAGCAACAGAAAAACAGTATGTCTCTCTGCGGAAACATGATAATTTCATAAGTTTTATAACTTATAATTAAATATCGAAGAACAAGTTTTATCATAATATTACAACTCTGTCTTCTTTCCAGCATGTAGTAAGTGTCCAAATCTATACACACAGTACATGTATTCTGAAATGGGCTTCACCTGAATCTTATGCAAGGTTACAATAACCTTTCTGCTGCTATATCAAAAAATCCTATTAGTAATACAGGGTTCCAATACTATTAGTTCTTGTCATTAGATCTTCGGCAAAATATTTCAAACATTTAACAATAATTACAACTAAATACTTTTTCTCTACAAAAACTAATAGTTCTCTCATACAAGAAGTAAGTTCCTATTTAATTTTCATGCTTCAAAATTGTGATACTTTTCTCAATACTGTAACCCAAGTCACTTTAATCTGTCTTATTCACTAAGAATGTTCAAATTCGTCTAAATGACAGAAATGCTGATAAAAGTATTGTTACGACAGCAGAAGTCACGTGACTCTAGTAACACGTCATGAGCTTCTAGAAAATTCATGCCCCTTCGTGAAGCCTCGAGTGTTTACTAGATGTGCGGTATTCTTTTATATAAGACCGCCAGGATGTGACGGCAACAATGTAATTGAATTGCAGACAGAAATAGAGACAGACACTTGAGACACAAAGGAGTACTAGAAGCTCTGTGGTGTGACAGGACATTATGCAAGGTTGTGGAGATCAGTGTGGGTAACTATTGAGCTCATAGGCATGAAGAACAGACACAAAGTATACTTGGCTGACATTGAAGACCAATGCATACTAGGGTTGGACTACTTACTACCGAGGAAGTGTGTAATTAATTTTGACAAAATGACGTT